TTTTTTAATTAATAATCGATAAACTTTCGATTAAAACGGATATTATTACGGCTTATTACAATAAAAGTGATTATAAAAGCTGTAAATCAATTTATTATCGTGTTTTTTAACGCTACTTTTAAAATAAATGCTATACGGACGTTAAACGATTCGTTAAGACTTATAAAGAATGCTAGCATCGAGCAGTTAATAAGCTCGAAAAGCTATTACACTTTATTCGATTTAATAACTTAATAAAACGCTAAGCTATCGATATTATTTATTTACTTGCACGCAATAACAAAAGCTATTTAATTATTATTAAAAATAATATAAATAGATAAGTCGAAACGAAAGCGATTCGGATTCGAAACTCGCTTTTAATAACTAAGTTTATTTAAAAAGACATTATCTGCCGCTATAAGATTTTCTTTTAATTAATAATCGACGGAAGTTTAAAGTTTAAGAAAAAGGTAATCGACTTATTTAATAATTAAAAAATCAATTAAGTCGTAGTTTTAACATATTACTTTTAAGCGAATAGAATAATAGAACGCGGCTACGGATTAATTAAAAACGCATTAAGTAAGCTTAAAAGCATCGACTAAATTACGCAATTGCTAGCCGTTTTATTCGCCGACCGCACTTCGATGCATATTCTTATCGGATTCACTTTTTTTTATATAATATACAACAAAAAAGCAATGCTTTCGATTAAGACTCGAATCTAATCTTAAGCTACGTTATTTTAAAAGCTAATAATTAATCGTATTAAGCTTATCGAGTTAAAAACACGCTAATTTCGGATGCGAAACGAAAACGCTACGGAAGCTATATTTAAAAAAACTCGTTATCGTTAAAAAAGAAAAAATGCTTTTAATAATAAAAAGAACCTTCGAATTAAATCTTTAAAAATAAGTGATTTAATTTTTAAGCACGACTCGATACGTAAAATAAATATATCTAACGTTAAGAAACTAGATTTTCGATAGCTTAGCTTTTATTAAATTTCGTTAATAAATATAAAAAAATATTATAAATTGAAAAAGCTAAAAGAAAACGAAGCTTTGCTAAATAAAACATTTGCTAGCAATCGATTAAAGAAGTTCTACGTACGATACACTTTTAAAGCGTTATTACTTCGCTTTAAGCTTTAAATAAAAAGATTTTTAAAACAATTTTTATTAAATAAAATAATCGAGTCCGGCTTTTAAATTAAGCGTTTAAATAGATTTGTTATTCGATTACTTAGCTTTACGGAAAAGCAACGGAGCTAATACGCAAGAGTCTTTATAAGCAGTAATAAAAAAGCAATAAAGAATAATTAAGTTATAAAAGCATAATTATACGTAAAAAAAAGACGAGTTTAAATTTGATTTTTTAATTTCTTTCTTTATTTAAATTTGGTTTTCTTTATTTTCTTTTTTTTTATACTCTTTTTATTTCTTTTTTTATATTAAAAAGCCTTACGTTATCACACTTATATGCTTCCGATCTATTATATACGAGCATATTATATATATAAAGCGGACCTTACTCGAAAGCTAATTAAAAAGAGCATACGAAAAATCTATTATATTAACTATTTAATAAGCTGCCGATACGCGATAAAAACCTTTTCGACCTTATAACTTAAAGCTAAATAGAATAATGCGAAAACCTTTCGCAGCACTTTAAGCACTGCTTTTACCTTTCGAAGTCTTATTAATATTATTACGACTCGAATTTTTCGAAGAATTACGAGTATTGCTACGGCTAAAACCTCGCGAAAAAGAACTATCGGTATTACCGCGAATAAAAGCTTAGCGAGCACTTCGGCGAAGCCTTTTCGCAAAAAGCGCAAAAAGAGCAAAAAGCGCAAGAAAAGCAAGACGTATAAAAAGTGATAGCGATAGCGATAATAAAAATAAGCGAAACGAAAACTTTTTAATAATTTATCGTAATTAAATCGAAAAAGAATTACAAAAGGTTCGCAATATACACTTATACAGCTAAAAAAGTTATTTAGCAAAGTATTGTTTCGATTTATTGCAATTAAAATCTAACGCAATAAGTCTAACGAAGCTAGATCGACGATAGCAGCGGCGGCAAATAAGCGCAACGCCGAAACGGGACTTAAGCTAGCTAAAAGACCTTTAATATTAGCGGCGGCAAAGGTAGCAGCGGCGATACGAGCTTAAAGAAAAGAAAAAGCATTATTAATACGAGAAGCAAAAGCGCGGCGGGTCTTTATAAAAAGATTATTTGCAATTATGCTTTTACGAAAAACGTCGTCGGCCGTTTTAATTCTATTATTTATAGCCGTTATCGCATTTATTAAAATTATACCGGCATTAACGACTTTTGCGAAGAGCTATCGAATCGGAATTAAAACGAGTATAAAACGAAAAGTAAAATAACTTATAAAGATGCAAGTTGACTTAATAGCACGGCAACGCTTGCATTTAATAAAAGTGTCGAAAAAAAAGATATATCAACTCGCGGTATTATCGATAGTTTTGCTTACGTAACTTACGCATCGAAAGCAAATCGAAAACATAATAATAAAAGATAAAGTTAATAAGTAGTAATATTAAAAAAAAGATAAAAAAGTATAAAGTTAATATAAAAAGAAAGTACTATTTATAGCAAGACTTTAAGTATATATTACCGCTTTTATTTTCTTTATTACGTTACCGCTTTAAGCTTTACGCTATTACCGATTCGGCGGTGCGTTACTACTTGATCGCTTAAACCGGCGCACGCTTATTTTAACGATAATATTAACGCTTAAGTTAATATTATTCTTATAATTAAATAAAAGTGCTATAAAAGATATAAAGAAAAGTTAAACTCGAAAGATTATTTTGCATTTTCGTTATTATTCTTATCTTTTTTATTATATTATATACGCTTCGTATTAATATCGATCCGGCGATATATTATTAAATAGTATTTTAAAATTATATTGCGATCGTGCAATTCGGCTATATGCTCGTTTTATAAACCCAACCTTACCACTTTAATAAAAAGTGACTCGAAAGCGAGTCTGATTCGAAAAAAGAACGTATGTAATAGAGTTAAAGCTTTGTATTTGTTTTATTTATGTATATAATATTAATACTAAGCACCTTTATTACGTAAGTGCGCTGCATGCTTTAGCCTTGCTAAGCACGTAATTAAGTCACGTGCAAGCTCTTATATAAACGAGTAGTTGGTTCCTTTTTAAACTAGCATTATATTACTACACAATACAATATACGTACTTATAGCATACATTCGAATGTCCTTCGATCGTCCTCTTTTTCTCTTTTTATTCACTTACGATTCTATTATAGCTATATTCATATATATCTCTTGATTTGACGTTGGGTATATGTCGGAGCTCTTCCCTTCCACAGTAGCAAAACCGATGCCGTATTTAACGGATTTCTTTTTTGCTCGAGATATATCTAATTAAACCTCGAAGTACTTCTTTTAAAATGCTCGTAACTAAAGCAAGCTAGCGGTAAAGAAATTAGCTGCTCCGCTATTAATTATAAAGCTTATAAATACGTTTTTAAAGTACTTAAAAGCTATATAAGTCTTTGCCTTGCCCGCGGGCATACGCGGATCTTGCTCGAGCATCTTATAAGTCTTCACTTAGCTAATAAGAGCGTAAAATGCCGTCTGAATCTTTAGTTGTTTGTATACTTCGTTAGCGTTAAAAGTGCCGTAAGTAATTATAAAACCTTCCGATATATTAGCGTAGCTGCTCGATTCGAGCGGCTCGTTTAGTAAGCTTGCGATGAACTAGTCGAATTCTTTTATAAATACAAATAGCAAGCTTTCGATCGACGCTACGTATTAAGAGAATTTGCTTTTCGTTACCCTTTTTGCGTCCTTAGAGCTTTAAAACTTAACTACGAAAGCCTTGCGCTCGTCGAAAGTGTAATTAGTGCTTTAGCAACTTAACTTCTTATAAACAAAACACTTTTTCTTACTTTTAATAGCTTTAGCAGCTTTCTTACCTCCGAAGTATTAGCGGTCTTAAATAAAGCATTCGTATTTTTCGTCCAAATCGGAGTCAGCCTTTGAAGTGTTATAAGAGCAAGTATGATCGTATAGCTCGCTAAAGCTCGCGTAAGCTCTAGCTTTAGCGAAAGGTCGGAAGGTCTTAATTGCAAACGCAATAGCTTTGCGAATGTCGGCAATTGCGGCGGTAAAAGTAAAAGCAAAGTTCATTCGTGCAATCGTAGTTTTTAATACGTTTTTATAAACTAAATACAACTTGTCAGCAAGACTTCGATTATCTTTTAAACCTAATCGTAAAGAGCTTTGAATCCTTTTAAGCTTTTTAGCGAGCTTCTTAAAGCATTCGCTAAGCGAAGTCTTTAGATTCTCTTTTTTAATCAAATCTAACGAAATTTCCTTTTAGCGGTCGTATTTTGCTTGCCGCCGGTAATCAGTCTCGAAGTAATCTTTTATTATAATAGCGTTCGCTTTAAAAGTCGGAAGCTTAGCTTTAATGACGTGATTATAATAAAAGGTTATAACCTTTTTTATAAGCATAATCGAGAACGCCGCTAAGTAATCGTCGGAAGTTAAACCGTATCGATTTGCTTAGTTAGCAAAAATCTTTAATTAAGTCTTAAAGTCATCGTCGGGTCTTAAATACTTTAGCTCTTTAAAAAAGCTTCGCGCGAACAAAGCTAATTCCTTCGCTTTTAAGTAAAGATCCGTCGCTTTTAATTCGAAGAAATCGTTTTTATTATCGTTAAGAGCGCTTAAAGTGCCGTATGCAAGCGTGCTATGCTTAGCTAATAGTCTGATCGATAAAAGGTTATCGATATAATTGCCGATGGTCCGTCTTTTTTTAAAGTCTTTAAAAAGCTCATTTCCGGATCCGGAGTCTTTTAGAAGTCCGTTTCCGAATCCTTTTAATAGTTTAAAAGGCTTATTTCTACTTTTTTCGTACTCGTAGCCTCGATCTTTTTGCTAATCTCTTTCGTTTCTTTTTCGTCGATTATCGTTAAAATCGCTAAAGCTATTCGAGTCACCGGCTAAGGCTTTAGTTTGATAATATCCGTACTTTTAAGCGCGCTCTTAACGATTCTTATACCTTTAGTATCCTTTTTATCGATACGTAGCTTGTTGAAAGATCTAAAGAGCTTGTCGGTACGTTCGAAAATGCTAGATTTTCTTTTCGAGTTGCTAAAGTTAAGCACGGAAATCTATACGTTGTCTTTAGTAAAAGCTGATTTTGCTCGGAATGCTCTTAGGTTTTAATAGGTCCTTTTTTAGCGTGTAGCTTTCGTAGCTTCGAGTGTTATCTGGTCTAATGATAATCTTAAGATCATTTTTGTTACTATTTAATCTTAGCTTTTCGAAAACCCGGCTATAGCCTTTAAGAAAAGGATTTAAAGGTCGCTGAAGTGATTTTGGCTTTTCTTGTATAATTAGCGTATTGCGTAACGATTAATAAATTAAGGACGTCGAGTACGCTAAAGCGCTTCGTCGTAGCCTTTCGTTAGATTATATAGCGTAAGTCCGTAATTCCGCTATTTGCTTTACTATAGCCTTTATATTTCGTTTTATATCTTTTTTCTTTTTTAAAAACTCTTTTCGTAACTTTTAGATTTCTTTTCCTTCTTTTTTCTTGCTTAAAGTCTTTTTTTCCTTTTCTTTTAGACTTTTCGAAAGTAATAGAAGTAGTTAAGGCGTATTATTTTCGTCGTTCGTAAGATTTTCGGCGGTCCACTTTAATTCGAGACTTAAAAGTATTACTTATTGCTCTTTTATTTCTTCGAAGGTCTATTAATGCTGCTGCTCGTCGTTTAAGAGCTTGACCATCTTATTAGCGTAGCCTTTTTGCTTTAAAAAGCATTATACGCCTTTGAATAGCAAGTGTTCCTTAAGGCTAATAAAAGTAGCAAACTTAAAGCTTCGTCCCGTATTGTTCCTCGTTATTATAAAGCTCGTTTAATCTTAGCGTAAGAAAGCGTGCCGGAATAAGCTTTATAAGTCGTAATCCTTTAGCCCTTTACACTTCGCATCTAAGAAGTCTTTTACTATTGCTCGGGCCGTAATTTTATTATCGAGCCTTGCGTATAATAGCTCGTTTAAGTTAAATGAGATGCTTGATATCTTATCGTTTAATCTTTTCGAAAGGCTTAAAAGTCTTAAGTATAATGGTCCTTTTGGCTGAATAGTTAAGGGTTCCGTGGGTAGTAATAAGACTCGAGGGGTATAATACCCTACTGCTCTTTGTCGGCTAGACTCTTTATTTAAAGGTCTAGTTGCTCGATCGGCCATAATTGTTGTCTGCTCGTACGTAGATCGATTTTATTAGTTGGGTTTGCTATATGTAGCAGGCGCGGCTTTATAGCTTTAAAAGTTGTATAAAAGTGACTTGGTTCGGAATCACTCTTCCGTAAGAATAAAGAAAATCGATAATATAAGAAACGACTTAGTACGGAATCGCTTTTCCGTTGTAAAAGAAAAGTATCGTAATAAAAGGTATCTTCGCTATAAAGTCTTAGCTTTTCTATAATTAATCACTTAATAGTAAATCAACTACTGATTAGTGTTAGATTGCTTTTAAGCGATTAAGAATATATTCGTAACTTCGTAAGATCGTCAAAGTACTTGCAATTGCAAAACACTCGATTAATAAGGTATCTGAATTCTGTCTGCTCCTTAAAGCTCAAGGGAGCTGATTCCTTTTATATGATTAGAAGGAATCACGTGCACTAGCTAGCTAATAAGTTTACTAGTCAAATTAGGGTCCCTTGACTGCTAACATGCTAAGCGAGGCATGCCAAGTGGCCCGTGAACCCTGGTTCACGGGTGAACTTCCCAACTATTACTACTACTAGCTAAGGTCGATATGGATATACCGACAATACTGGTGGCGATACTGGTAGCAAGGCAATACTGGTGGCAAGGCAATACTGGTGGCGATACTGGTAGCGATACTGGTGGCGATACTGGTGGCAAGGCAATACTGGTGGCAAGGCAATACTAGAGGCGATACTGGTGGCAAGGCAATACTGGTGGCGATACTGGTAG